GGCCACGTAGGATCCTTCTCCGCTCATGTTTTTCAATCAGTTTTTCTTTTGCCTCTGCTTCTATTCTTGTGACATTGTTATTCCACACACAGCTTACACATGCACATTCTCTGAGGTTTCCCTCTTTATGGGCTGCAGAATGAGGTGTAGACCAAAATGACTACTCTAATGGAGGAGCTGCACGGGTCCTGAAACAACAGTCTACACACAGTCAATACAATACGACCGTGAAAGACCCAGGGCTAATAAAAAAGGTAACAAAGTATTAAAGCTGAAGTGTTTTTCTTCACATAGAAAAGTTGGGAGATGTGATAGAATACTACTAAAGGGAGAGTGCTAGATTATATATTTTATACTTTGGAAATGTTGTAGTTTGGGGGAAACAATAACACAAACACCAACACGAGCTCTTCATGACTTTGACTGACTGGATCACTCTGTCCAGTTAGGGATCACGTGGGACTTGAACTCACCACAGGTGACACTGGACAAAGGTTGTTACACCAGGCCACATATAAACACAAACAGACTTTTACAGGTACTTTTATACTTCCAGTGGAACATCCTAATGTTCCAGGGGCTGTAGTGTCCATGTCCTCAACAAACTGTACAAACAACACAACAATATAAACCAGGACATGGACTGATCACTCTGTCGCTGTGAGATTTTAAACACACCGTCTCAATCTGATGACCTGTTAATGCCAGTATGAAAATGACGTTTGGAAAAGACTTAAAAGGTTATGATTGATCCTCTTCCTGTAAACTGGCCATATACTGTATGTATGTATATATACATACATATAAATACATATACATCTCAATCCTCCTGTTGTAACAGACAGCGTTAAGGCAGACTTTTCCCTCCCAGTCTGCAGCAGCAGCAGTTTGCAGCCACATTTAAGAGCAGCTAAATGTCATTAGGCCCTGCTAAACCTAAATACTGACAGCCACAAAGCCAATTCCCTCTTAACCTATTACTACTACATTTCTATCCACTTTCCACACTGACGTTAAACAAGCACACATGTTCTCTGTGTTACCCTCAGAACTTTTTTTTTTTTTTCATATCTTCCCTCCCAACTCTGTCTCTCATTTCATCCACACCCCACATCTTTGATCTCCTAATTCATCTCCTTCTGGCTCAGCCTCGGCAGCAGATATGTCAGCTCAAACGCACACATGGTAAGTAGTACGGCATCAGCTAAACACCGTCAAAAGTGAAGTGTTGTAAATTTCGGCTTTGATCCATAGATTTCAAGTGTGACAAAATGTGTTTGTGAGTAGGGAAATCTAAACCTGTAGGGATGGATCAGCGAGATCAAGCAAAGTGGGGCGAGAACATTCATTTCAGATGGCCTGAGCCGTGACAGAATTGGTTCTGCATGCTGTTTTCCACCGAGTGTGGTGTCATGTTCACAGGTTTCTTGTGTTGTAAAGTCAGAGTGGTTTTGGCATGGGGGGTGGGGGGTGGGGTCTGCGAGCTCCTGTTCTGAGCATGAACCCTGTCCTGCCCAGTGCATGGTGGGCTGCAGACTGATGTAGAGCCAGACGAAGGCCTGAGAGTGATGACAGGGCTGTAGCTGGGAATCAAACCCGATGCTGACACACGACACACTGCCAAAATCAAAAATCAGATCCTCTCAATCACTGTGTGTGTTACCCATCTATACACACACACACAATTACATTTTTAGCATCTCTGTGTTATAGAGAACAATAAATAATGTTAAATAAAATACAAATATTAATTCATCTGAATCCTTTCCTAATCTGGCCTAACTCTGCCACTACACGCAGCATGCTAGCTGACTAGTCCACGCCTCCGACCCCCGCCTCACATTCACACTCACAATAGAGTAGAAGAAAAAAAACACTTTCCACAGAGACACTGTCTGATGTCAGCCCAGTGTTGTGGACCTGCTGGTGGTCCTACCACCACTGCACCACTTACACACTCATGGTGGAAAAAGAAATTGAAAATACAGAGGTAACTGGACAATATTGCCAAGCAAACATAACAAAACTGGCTGCATCTTATCTCTAGACTCTGTAAACGTCAATACAATTTGTCAGAAGTCCAGCGTCCCACCTTGCCGACTTCTCATTGGCTCCCAATGGAACGGAATGTTTTCATTGCCACATTTATCCATCAAGTCTGGCTGTAAAAAAAAAAAAAAAAACTTTCAGTGATCCAACACTCTGCTACAGGAACGATCTGTGATAAAAGTTGATATTTAATGAGCTGCTCGTGCAGTTGATCGTGTTTTACTAAACAAATAAAACGGTATACATTTGACTATATACTTTACAACATTTCAGATGAAGCTGAACTTCCTGTGCTGCCTTTGAGCAGTTACCACTGCATGGGGATTCACGCAGGTGTGACACACTGTACCACAGTGTATACAGTCAGTGGATTGTTTGCATTAGGATCCAGCATGAAAGGATCAAACGGACAGTTGTCAAAGGAAGAAGTGCCGTGCCTTTATTTACTGTTGTAGCGATCACGTACAAGTGGTTGTTGTTATGAAATTGCAGCGGTGGTTGAGAAGTGTTTGTTTTTTTCTGACTGTCCGACGCTTCCGTCCCTCCCTGTTCTTGACCAGCTGACTCCGTCATCATAAAACAACATGAGTGCTGTGTAACCTTGACTCCCAGTCATAAAAAGTCACAGCAGAGAAGGTGGAGACACGGAGTCATATTTTTCAGGAATCCGTGTGTTAAACATGCTCTTTGGGCACGTTGGCTTAGCCCTCCTTTATATCACATCATTATCTGATGTTATTACACAGTAGAAATCTAACCAGACATGGCCGTGATTGGATGTCCCTCAGAACGCCTTGTGAGTATAACTACTATGATCAAATACTTTCAAATAGTACTCATGAAAACACTGAATACGATGCAGAAAATAAGGAAACAGATCCAACACTTCTAGTTTTTAAAAACCAAATCACGGGTTTTCCAGACTGTAAATGTCATTACAGTATGAATGCTGGACAGGTTCTGTTTGTACTAGCTCTGTAAAACAGCTGATAAGAGAATGCCAACCTTGGCATTTTGTTCTGCAGTAGCTGCACCATGCCGTTGTTCAGGAACTGATAAGGTGTGAAATACAACACCTGTCATGTGGACAGTGTTTCTGTGTCACTTACTACATCCACCACATAATGTCCAGTCAGCGGAGGCTCTGATCTGTAGACGGATCACTGATAAATACATGGAAGTGGAAAAGGTTCAAGAAAGAGTCCAACAGTCTCTGATGGAGATGACAACATGAGTTTACACTTGGGTTTATATCTGAACCTTATCACTACAGAGACTTCAGGTGATGACACCTCCACTTGAAGCACAAACACCCAGCATAACATTTACTTTACACACCGTGAGCAGGATCTCTGGCTTCCAAGGTCTGAATGGTGTTGTAATCAATATCTCTGGCTACAAATGTAAGTCATGACTCATGTTATGTCTAAGAATCTAACACAAACACTCAAGTTTTTTCCATTACCTGACACTGCCAAGGAGATGGAACGGCCACCTACCGTCTGAAAATGAAAACATTACACCGATATAGATCTTTACAACAATAAGCCGTTCCTCCAAACGTTGGTGCGTTAGTCGTTGTTAAAATATAAATCAATAACAAAACTCACATTGAATTACATGATCTACTCTGCAGTGTTGTTGTTGGCAGGAGTCGAGAGTGAATGAAAATCTGGTCCAAATGTGTCTGCTCGTTACTATTGGGAGTGGTGTAAACATCTAATTAAGACATTTGCACTTCTTTAAACTAGAAGTTTGATCTTTTGCAGATTTGTACACGGGATCCTTAAATGTTGAAATTTGTTTTGCGGCGCGGAGAGAAAATGGTCTCTTCTCCAATCTCACCCTGTCCTCTCCTGATGCTCTGGTTTGATTAGCTAATGAGACAGTTTAAAACACACTCCTGTGGCTAATTACTTGATCTAATGCATAAACACTTGAATGATGAAGTTCACGAAAAGCTACTTAGTCCCTTGGTTTGCTGATTTGCTCATCGACAGGCAGTTAAAGCCAGATCACATTAACGAGGGGATTGTGGGATTTAGCATAAACATTTGTTTAATGTAACGGAGGAACTCATAAAAATGTACACATACCTGCTGTTGCTGATTGCACTACACAGTTAGATAGTTGTAAACTAGATAAAAAGGCTTAAGCAGCGAGGTCATCCAACTCCCCTGTGTCTTATTAAATCCACTGATAACCTTTGACCTGAGACCTGAAGTGTTGTAATATAAAATTTGAATAATATTTATCTGAGCTGTGGTTGAACTGGATAAAAAGCATCTCTGTGCTACAGAAGTTTGCATTTACAACAGCAGGTTCACTCAGTGGGGGGAAATAACCAAGTTAATATAAATAAGTAAATATATTTTCACGTCTAATCCTGGTCCTCTGACCCAGACAGGCAAATCCAACGTAGGTTCAGCTAACATCTGACTGTATACGGTTGACTGGTCACTCTCTCTGCTAACTGTACTCCACGTTACGGCTACAGTGACCTGAATATAACTTCAAATATACTGTAAATATATATATATATATATATATATATATATATATGATAATCACAAAGAGTATTGCCATATACTTAATTTCTGTAAAACTTTAAAATATAGTTGAAAAGCATCTAAATCTACACATATATATGCATACATACATACAGTACATATATAAATATATATATACATACATGCATACATACATATATACATACAAACATATATATAAATACATACATAAATATATACATATATTTCTATATGTATATATATTAAGTTCTTGGTCTTTATTTTAGCTGGATTCTCAGGCATACTGACAAAGTGTAAACACAACAATAAAATCGTTATCGTCCACACAAAATGAACAAGTCTGAGACACTGCGACTAACCTTAAACACACACACACACACACACACACACACGCACCGACGCACGCACGAAGTACAGGGGAAGCTGGTTGGCAGGAAGAGCAGGGTTTTACTGCTCTAACTAAAATAAAACATGAGGACTTTGTGGTCCACAGTACAGTTGGAAAGACAAATATTATTTTTTTTTCTACAAAAGAAAGAGAGAGAAGTCCAGGGACTGACTATATAAAACACTGTAATGATTTAATGGCTGAAGTATTAAGGCGTGTAAGTTAAGCTGCAGTTCCCTGTTGTGGAACAGAAGTAAGAGAGAAGAGACACATTTACTACCTCAGGGGAAAACAGCAGTTTGTAAGTGTTGTGCACTTCATGCCAGCCATGGTTGTAGGAGTTTAGGAAATGGCTTTTTTACACTAATAACAAAAACATACAATAATACTCACAGCAATCATTGTTATATTATTTTATTTGTAATTTGTTTAAATTTTTGGGCACACTTTTAAGAATTATCATTATGTCATTGAACAAATTCATTTTTTCTATTTTTTATTCATATAAAGAATTGAACAATTGCCATATTTTTAACGCACACGCTGGCACGTAGGAGCTTTGAAAGGCAGACACTGTGGGCATCTCAGACTGCCTCTCATCCCTCAGTCAGACCGAAGACTTCCTGCAGTAGTCAGACTCTTTGAACTCTGTATGCTAATGTTGACATACCAGACCAAAACCTCTGCATCACGAGGCTCATTATCCGTCTGCTACCCCCGAGGATGGTCACCGCCATCCGACAAAACTGACACGTTCATTCACAGTGTTGGTCAGAGCTCAGATTCCAGGCGGCGTTTTCTCACGAGTCCCCTCGAGGCAGTGTAAGAATGAATGGAGCGAGAAGGGGGTGATGGGGAGGGAGGCAGGGGGCGCTGATTACACCGCAGACGCCTGATATGCCAGGACTGATAATGAAACGCATGCACAGTACTGGAGTATTGGTGCGAATCTCATAAATCTTTTTTTGTTTTTCCACACGTACAAACACACGTGGCTGCACCTCCATCAACCTCACGTGGTAACAGGAGCCACAGGTGGTCTTGGCAGCGGGAAACACTCCACGGTAAAACAGGATAATTATCTGTTTAGAAACAAAGAGGAATTAAGAAATGCATCCACATGTGTTTGTGACATCTGAAAGGATGACGGTTGAAACTGTGTGTGTGTTTGTTTCAGTGTGAACATGTCCCGCTCCTTCTCCAGCTACAGCTCTCATGCTGAGGCCTCCTCCTGGTAGCTATTATGGGTGTGTGTGAGCGCATGTGCATGTGTGTCTGGGTGGTCCAGTCCCATCTCCTACCTACTTTCTACTAGTTTTTATGCTGTTCTGTACTGTGCTCCGGGGCAGCAGAGGGTTTGGAGGAGGGGGGTGGGGGGTAAAGGGTAAGGCGATGGGTGTTGTAGGGGGGATGTAAGTGGTCCCACTGAGAGCAGACGACAAGCCTAATAAAGCTACACCAGGTCTAGGCCCATTGCTCTTAGCACTTCCTCCCCGCTGCCCTCTTTGCTCTCTCCTGCCCCCTTGGTCCACCACACCCCCGCAGGCGCTTGTGGTCAAACTCTAATGGGACCCAGCTGGACTCCCACCTTTCCTCTGTTAGGGACCCAGGCTTCAGCTCTCTGTTCTCTCCCTCTCGGTGTTCAGGCCCAGATGGCGATCCTTCAGGCAGGAAATTCAATGCCGGAGGTTGTATTAAAGATCTCTGTCTTTGTGGTTCCCTCAGTCAGACTGACTCTGTCTGTCTTCTCTTTTCACACAACATGTCCTCTACCTGTGCCAGGTGTTACATCATGACTGACCTTCTTAAATACGACGGAACACCACGACGATCACAGTTCGAAAAAAGTCAAGACGACAAGAGAAAAGTCAAACGTTCAATCGTTGGTCAGACAGTAGGTAAATGATACAAATGTTGTAATGATTGTTTACAGACAGTGTTTATTATTATATTATTATATTATGATGGTAAGACAGAGTGAGGAGTGGAAACACAATAGTCAGGTTAATGATTTATAAACTCACACCCATGTGGTGCATTTAATGTCATTCTGTTTAGTGGATCAACAGCAGTGTTGTCCTGTGGTCAGCTAGTTCCATCTATGTTGTTCCAGGTAAAGACCGGAACTTTCTCTGACTTTCATTTGGGGACCAAAGCAATACATACAGTAAAACCTCGTTAACCAGTTACTTTTTTTCCAAACCGTCATCCACCCAGGTTCCTGTGACCACTCACTAACTGAAGCCGATTAAGAAACAGAGCAGATGATGGATCTTTGATCACTCTAACATCTAGTCAAACTGTTCAACCACAGATTTCTGTGTGGACTGGAGGACATGGACAGATCCCGGCACTGCCACTCCTCCACTCCCCATGGCTGGTCTCAGGGTTGCCCCTCTGTGGTGAGGTGGCATTGACTAACATTTGTTCCCCAGACTTGCGTCTCTGTGTAGCTGCACTCTCAGCGTGTAAACAGGGTGGTGCCAATTTCCCGACCCAGAGTTTTTATGGCACCAAAGCAGAGCAAACAAACAAAGTGGAGAACTTTATGCACCAGCCTGCGAAGCGTTCAGTGGGAGCTACGGCGGGACGAGCGGTGCAGAGTCCCTGAAGATCTCATTCAAACACGTACGCAGGGAAAAGTGCCAAAATGAAAGGCAGCGTATGCATTCATCCACACACACGTAGCCAAGCCTGTAATCCCAGTAATGCATTTGACATGACTGGCATGGCAACAATTACCAGTGGGGTCTCGTGTCATGTCCTACTTACTCACTGTGGCAGCACCAAAGTGCCCATAAAGACGTCTGATTGGCTTCAGTTCATATATTCTTAAGACCTGAACTTTCAAAAGCATCGACAAGTGGCACAGAATTCTACTGTGGTTCCATTTTACGTCTTGTAAACAACACACTCTGCTGCAGCGGGAGTGGGGCTTTAATCGTGATCACGTCGAACACAGACGGCCGATAGTGTGCAGTTTAGCATAACAACTTATCATTCTCAAACCATAACTAGATGTTCACACTGATGAATGGTTAAGCGTCTGCTGTGTGGTCCCCCGGTGGCCCCTGTGCATGGTGTCACAGCGGTTCCGCTCCATGTCAGAGATGAAAGCGAGCTGGGCGCGGCGATGCAGGGTTTGTGCTCTTGAATTCATTATCTCTGACCAGATCCGTCCCTGTGATCAGAGCGAGAACTAGGATGGTGGCAGAGCGGGGCAGGGAAGTTGTTCTTCCTGTTCATCTCTGTAAACTACAGCCTGTGGTGCCGTCACACACACACACACACACACTCACACACACACAGGCACGAAATGTTTTCTTTTTTTTTAGAGGATCTGACATGTTGGTCTAGATCTACACAGCTGAGGAAAATGATTGAAGGTCATTAAATATTTTCAGGTTCACACCAAACCACTGGATGATATTTTTAGTTATGGTTGACATGTGTAAAACACTTCTATGTTGAGTTTAGTATTTGTAAAAGCAGACCAAACAAATACTGATCCTAGTGTTATATTA